GTCGTCTTCGGCCTCTCCGACGTACTCTGCCCGTACGACGTCCTGGACGAGGTCCTGAAGGCGGCCGGCGTGGACCTGGCGAGGGTCGCGGAGGACTTCGAGAAAGAACAAATGGCAAACGCCTCCTCCTCCCCCTCCTCCTCCTCCTCCTCCTTCCCCTCCTCCTCCCCCTCCCTCTCCTCCTCCTCCCCCTCCCTCTCCTCCTCCTCCCCCTCCTTCTCCTCCTCCTCTTCTTCCTCCTCCGCGCGGATTGCTTGGATCGGCGCTGGAATCCCCTCCCTAGCCCGCGGAGCGGCAGAGGCGCCGCCAGGGGGTCCCAACGCCGATCTGAGAAATCTGCGCTCAAGTTTATTGAATTTGGTGCTGCTCTAGAGGAGTGCAAGGGGCTGCCCCAGAGCGAGAAGAACCGCAAGAAGATGTCCTACCTCGCGGGTCACTCCGCAGATGTCCTCACGCAGGCGATCATGGATCCAGGAAGAGACAAACGCAACGGGCTGGGCTGAGGGAGCTTTGGGCTCACTCCCAGGGCTGACCCCGGCCCCCCAACAGTGATGACCTGCGCGCGGCACTCGAAATGGGTCGCCAGTCGCAGGTCATCTCCGCTGGGGGAGGGTCGGGGCTATCTTTGCAAGGGCGACTGGGCGGGTTCCCTCAGCGCTGCAATTGTGGTGATTCGTTCTTCGCTCCCGAGGTGATGGAGAGGCTCGAGTTCACGCCAGGAGCCAAGCTTGTGTGCGGGGCCCTGAAGCGCATGGGCTTCACCCTCGCGGTGCTGACGAACACGGGCTGCCGAGATGCGGCAGATCACGTGAAGAGGCAGTTAGATATCGACTACGTGATCTGCCGGGACATGGAGGTGCGCGACGGCGTCATTCGAAGAGGGAGAAACGGCATCAAGATAATCGTTCGGAGCTTCGCGCGGCGCTTGGTCCCTTCTGGCGGCGCCTCCTGGCGCCGCCCCTGGCGCGCTCAGTGAAGTGAGGGGGGTCGGCTCCGATCCAAGAAATCTGCGCGTCGTTCCGAAAGTGTATGCTCATACAGTTGTTGCTGCCTCCAGAGGTGCGCGACGGAGTCATGACTGGCGCGTACGGGGGCGACATGAATGATATTACGTTCCGCAAGGCGGATCTTCTTAAGTTGATGGCGGACCGCGAGAAGATCAAGTACCGCAATGTGATCGTTGTGGGCGAGCCACTGAAGGGAATGAAGGAGGCAAACGCACGGTCGGTGATGGAGACGTTCGGGCCCATGGTGCATTTCTCCACGGACAAGCACAAGGACCTGACCCTCGTGTTGTACCTCTTGGGTTTCAACGGCACCGAGGTCGGCCTTCTGCGCAGGAAGCGGAAGTGCGAGGTGAGCCCAAGCGATGTCCCGCCTCAGCCAGACACCAGACGTTTTCTCTTGAAGGTTACATCTCCTTCCAGAGAGCCAGGTCAGTTGAGCAAGATTTTCGCGCCGCTGCAGCACATGAGCTCCGACATCGAGGTCCCCTCTGTGAGGCTATGCAGCACGCAGGACGGCGGCATGTGCTTGGGTTTGAACCTGCACGTGCTTCGGGAGGAGCCGGCTGCTGCAATCAAGGATTTTTTCGACGGGTGCCAGAAACACGGCTTTCAAGTGCAGGACGTCGCGAGGGTGTCCGACGCCGCGTCGCCGCACCCGCCGGATACCGCCGCAGGGGTGTGGCGACACTACTACCACAATCGGTTCGCGGTCACCCTCGTCCAGAGGCCCTTCATCTCCAGCGGCAGCCTCAGCGCTGTTCTCCAGGCACTCGTCTCGGTGGAAGGGAACCTGGTGCAGATGAAGAAGCTGAGCGTGCGGAGCATGTGGGCCGTTCTGCTCGTGGTGAACTTGCCGGCCGGGGTGGACTTCAGAGAGGAGGAAATGCCTCTGATACCGCTACCGTTCCCTTGTCGCCACGGCTGGAGTCGCCTCGAAATCCTTTCCAGAAGGCACCCCCAGGAGGTGATTCTATGCAGTAGCTGGTATCCTTGTACCTCCCAGGATTCGTCCAAGGTGAAGCGGACGTTCATGGACATCTCCCGCGAGCACGGCGTAGACATCGCCTTCCAGAAGGACGATGTGGACCGCTGGATGCGGAGGCTCATCGTCTTCGACATGGACAGCACACTAATCCAGCAGGTTGTCATGGACGAGCTCGCGAAGTACGCCGGCGTGGAGGAGGAGTCGATGGTTCAAAGATGGGGTCCTAAAGATCGGAAGGGATCCGAGGCTTGATTTACTGTTTAAGGCACCTCGTCATTTGGACCCCATCCCTCAGGACCCCATATTTGAACCACCGAAGGAGATGAGGGCCATCACCGCGGCCGCCATGAGGGGGGAGCTGAACTTTTTCGACGCGTTCCAGGCGCGCGTCTCGCTGCTGAAGGGGCACAACTTCGAGAAGCTGTTCCGACAGGTCAAGGCCGGGCTGATCTTCACCCCGGGAGCCCAGATCGAAGAAGAAACATCTGCATAACCTAGGTCTCCCAGATGGGGTCGGAGCATCGCGCCGCATTGGGGCTGCGGACCGGTGCGGAGCCCGATGTTCTTCATGTCGGCGTCGACGATGCACTGGGCGAGGCATCGTCGCTGCGGAGCGATCGTCTGACCCCGTTCCACTCGGACCCCATCTCGCAGGCCTCTGCACAAGCGTGTCTGAGTGTCGAGGCTCCGCGCGGCTCTTTCCTGGATCGGTGCTGGTCAGGAGGGGAAATTATTCACTGCGTGGAGCTCCCCATATGTGCATCTACTCGCATGGACTGTCCGCCGTGAATGTCTAGGCGCAAGAGCTTTCGAATATTAACGGGCTTCAGTTGTGACGGTCTGGACATCAATCTAACTGCGAATGAATTGGAGTGTGAATGAGCCTCAGTAGTACGAGCGCGTCTCTGTGCATGAGCCTGTGGGGTCTCCAGGAGCCTCTTGGGACCTCCTGGGACCTCCTAGGAAGGTTTCGTGCCCCAGGAGAGGCGCAATCTATAGCAACAGACGTACATAAAACATTGCGGATTAGAGCCACAGGAGAAGGGCAATCTATAGGAACACGCGTAAAACACCAAGGACTCGTGCCCCAGGAGAGGCCCAATACATAGGAACATGAGTAAAATATTTAGGATTGTGTACACAGGAGAAGGACCATCTATAGAAACATACGTAGAACATCAAAGAATCGTGCTCCAGGTGAGGCCCAATCGATAGGAGCATACGTAAAACACATGGGATTGGAGCCACTCCTGTTGCCTTCTGAGGCCTCCTGCTCCTGGGGCCTCTCGGGGCCTCCTGTTGCCTTCCGAGGCCTCCTGGCGCTTCCTGTTGTCTCCTGGGGTCTCCTGTGGTTTCCTGAGGCCTTCTGGAGCTTCCTGGGGCCTCCTGGAGCCTCTTGGGACATCCTGTGGCCTCTTGAGTCTTTCTGTGGCCTCCTGATGCCTCCTGGGACCTCATGTGGTCTCCTGGGGCCTCCTGGAGCCTGTTGGAGCCTCCTGTGGCATCCTGAGAAGAATCTGCGCCCACGAGCCTGGCCACCAAAACTAGCAAACCGATCGAGACATCCTCAAAATCTGGCCCACCTGGGGGGTGAAAATGAGCGCCTCGCTCGAGACATCCTCCAAATCTGCTCCGAAAGCGAAGGATGTTGGGCCCAGAAACAAGCAAACCGCCTGAGACATCCCCACAAAATGGCCGCGAACGAGCCCGTGCAACCACCCCTGGCGGCTCCCCTTAGGGGTGCTGAAATGAGCGCCTCGCTCGAGACATCCTCCAAATCTGCTCCGAAAGCGAAGGATGTTGGGCACAGAAACAGGCAAACCGCCTGAGACATCCCCACAAAATGGCCGCGAACGAGCCCGTGCAACCACCCCTGGCGGCTCCCCTTAGGGGTGCTGAAATGAGCGCCTCGCTCGAGACATCCTCCAAATCTGCTCCGAAAGCGAAGGATGTTGGGCCCAGAAACAAGCAAACCGCCTGAGACATCCCCACAAAATGGCCGCGAACGAGCCCGTGCAACCACCCCTGGCGGCTCCCCTTAGGGGTGCTGAGTATGAGTAAGTCTGTGTATGAGTAAGTCTGTGTATGTGTACGTCTGGGTATGACTAATACTGTGTATGAGTAAGTCTGTGTATGAGTAAGTCTGTGTATGAGTAAGTCTGAGTATGAGTAGGTCTGAGTATGAGTAAGTCTGAGTATGAGTAAGTCTGTGTATGAGAGTCTGAGTATGGGGAGGAGAAGGAGAAAAGAGGAGGAGGAAGGAGGAGGAGGAGGAGGAGGCGTCCAAGTAATAACAAGAACCCCATCTTAGGATATGGGGAAAAACACACAGACACAATTAATCGTCGATCCCAAGGAAAATATGGGAAGATATGGGAAGTGGTGGGGAAGACGAAAACCCCGAAAATATGGGAAAATATTGGGAATCCTTTTATGTGTGTGTAGTTATTTGTGTGTCCTCGGGCCCCTTCAGCTGGGCCCCGGCGCGCCGAGGGGCCCACGCGCGCCGATCCCGGGGCATCCGCGCGGGCCTCCGACGGCCTGTGCAGATCGGCCGGGGCGCCCCAGGGGTGCAGGCGAGAGGGGGCAGGCCTTCCTTTCGGGGGAGCGTAAGACCCGGGTTTGCCGGGACTCGGGTTCGCCATCGTTTTTTGACGACCGCGCCTCGGATTTTGACGAGGAGGAGTTTCGTGGGATGTCTGCAGCGGGAGGCCTCGTCAAAATGCAGGCTCAGCCTCGTCATTTTTTGACGACCTCGTCGGGGATTTCCGAGTCCCCCGTACCCGGGTCTTACGTCTCCCCGAGAGGGGGCAGGCCTTCCTTGACTCCAGATCCGCCCTACTCTGGCTTTTTTCCCCGCTTCAAAAATGGGCGTCGGATGTCCACCTATATAAGAAGCCGAAGAAGCAGGGCGGAAACTTCTGCACCCAGCATAGAAGTAGGGCGGGAATCCACAGAAGTAGGGCGGAACCAGCAACAGAAAAGTAGGGCGGAAATTGGCATCAGCGGGGCTTGAAAAGTAAGGCGGAAATTCCAAGCCCTACTTACGAATTTCCCCAAAGTAGGGCGGATCCGGAGTCAGGGTTCTCAGAAGGCGGCGGGGCTTCTCAGAAGCCCTCGCGCCGTCTTGGAGGCGTTCGAAGCCTTCCCCGAGGATGCAGAGCCGGCTTCGCAGAAGGCGCGCGGGGTTCCGAGAAGCCCCGCTGCCTTCTGAGAAGGCCTGCCTCCTCCCACCTCCCCCTGGGCGCGCCGCCGAGTTGGCGCAGTTTTTTCATCTTCGAGCAGAAGCTCTGCACCACCCTGCGCAAGCTGGGCTTCAAGATGGCCGTGATCTCTGGCGGCTTCCTGCCGTTCGCGCGCGAGGTGCAGCGCCACCTGGGCCTCGACTACGCCTTCGCGAACACGCTGGAGGCCCCCTGAGGGCTTGTTCCCTAAGGGCTTCACGTTTTTCTCCAATCGATTGCGTGAGGACAGCACAACACACCCCCACCCCCAGCCAGGACCCCCACTCCCGGCCTGATGATCCAGGGGCAACTGGCTGGGGGCAGGGTTTTTCTTAGCTGCTCGTGGGGGCGAAGACACCATCCCCACCCCCAGCCAGGACCCCCTGGATCACCACGTCTGGAGGGGGGTCCTGGCCGGGGGTGGGGGTGGCTTGTGCGCAGTGCAAATCGGGTTGACTCCACTTCAATCCAGGCAAATGCAGATCGACTTAGGCAAGTCCAGAGACCTTCTGGAAAATCTGGATCACATCGTTGACACTAAAGCGGGAGGAGACAGTTCTCTTTTTTCTTGGCGATAACAGGCGTGACCTGTTGGAGTTGGGGTACGGGGGAGGGGGCCAGTCACTTCGCGATTCGGCTAATTCCCACACGTCGCCGAATCGAAGCTTGACGTGACCAGGAAGGGGGTGGGAAGGGGCCAGTCATGGGCGTCATCGCGAATTATATACATAAATGGGCTCCTTGTAGGTGAGTCCAGAGATCTCCAGGAACATCTGGAGCAGATCGTGCACGCTCACGGGCGAGTCGAGCGACAGCTGAAGCTGTCAAGCCCCCAAATTTTTGCGTGATGCCCGACCCCGAGCCAAGCTTGCGCGTCGGTTCCTGGAGGCCGCCGCGGCGCTCGCGGCGGCCGCAAGTCGGGGCAAGCGTTTTGCCACGGAGGCGCATGCCCCTTCCCAGCACCCCCCCCGCTCCGCGATGTAGACGCAGCCCATGATGTTGACCATACAGCGGCACAGAGTTGTCAATGTACGCCCAACGGGGGCAGTCTTGTGCTCTTGGCCAGGGGTCGTTTATCCCGCCACCGCTCCACGAGAGGTGGACGAGACCACTGGTTGCCTGACTGGCTGCACGTCGGGCCCCGTGGTCACGCCGCAGAGGAAGCGCGCGCTGCTCGCCCACATCGCCAACGTCGAGGGCTGCGAAGTGGGGCAGACCATCTCGGAGGAGGGCCAGTCGAAACAACGGCGACCCTCTGTGGACGAAAAGTGTCCACGCCCATCGCGCCAAGACAGTGATGCGACGAAGTGCATCCGAGAAGTCGATCGCCCCCTCCTCCCAAACCGAAAATTGACAGCGGTGCCTGACGTGACGGGGGGCGGGGTAGGGGGCCGGTCACTTCGCGATTCGCGCTGGCGCCTTTTTGGGGATTGGCGGGTTCCCAGACGGCACCGGCGCGAATCGTGACGCGACGGGTGGGGTTGGAGGGGTAGGGTGTTGTTGGCCAGGATATCCCAGGAGGCCCCCGAGGCCCAATTAGAGGGCCCCAGAGGCTCCAAAATGGGACGAAAAGCTGGGGCACCTTGGGCCAGGAGCACCTTTAGCAACCCCCGAAGGAGAGGGATCGAGGGGAGAAGCACGGGGACCCTGACCAAGATGCAGCGGGATCTTGTCCATGCCGATCGTGGTCATGGTCCATGTCGGCCGTCGCCGATTCCGAGGTCGACGGTGACCAAGATCGGCACGACATTTCCACGTCTTGGTCAGCGTCCCCGGCTTGCTCCCCTCCCAGGGAGGGGGAGTGGGAGGGGCCAGTCACGGGCGTGTCTCGCGAAGGGTGCGAGGCACGGGCTCCCGTCGAGGCGCATGCGGTTCTCCATGGCGCTGCCCCGCCTCGAAGAAGGGGTCAGGACGGCCCCTCACCATAGGGCGAGCGGGTCTTGAGTCAAGGGGCCCTGTGACACAAATAAATACACACAAATAAAAGGATCCCCCAGATTTTTCAATATTTTCTTGGTTTTTGTCTCCCCCCCCACTTCCATATTTTCCTATATTTTCTGGGGAATCGACGATTAATTGTGTCTGTGTGTTTCTTTCCCTCCTGAGGGCAGCGGGTCCCCAGGCTCTGCGCCGTGCTCGGGCGCTCTCGGGGCCCCCCACGGGCCCCGGGACCGTGCGCAAGCGGCCCAGGAGGCAGAAGTGGTCCGGAGGGAAGGCCCCAGGGTCCAGGACCCGTTTCCCTCAGGACCCGCTCTCCCCATGCTCAACCTTGGGGAGGGGTCCAGGGATTGGTGGCGCCGCCGTTGTCTCAAGTGGCCCTTCTCCGACCATCGCGGTGGGCGACGGCGCGGGCGACATCCCGATGCTGAACGCTGCCGGCCTCGGCATCGCCTTCTGCGCCAAGCCAAAGGCTCCAGGCCTCCCAAGTGGGGCCGGATCAGATGGCGTCGGCGGATCGCGTCGCCATCCTCCGATCCTCCGATCGCATCTGCTCGGGCCCGACCTCCTCGCCGCGATGCGGCGCCACCCCCAGAACCC